AAGACACAACCCACGAGGGGCGAGCTGAGGTTAAGACACAACCCACGAGGGGTGAGCTGAGGTTAAGACAACGGCAGAGATCTGGTCTGGGCAATCCCATGGGGCTCCTGAGGCTCAGACATATGCTTATCCAAACTCCTTCCCACACCTGACCAGGTTCCTTTCGGACCTGCGCCCATCTGCCCCAGCAGACCTTGTCCACCTCACCTCTGCTTCTCTCTGCACGGCTCACTGGTTCTAAGCACATGTGCCTTTTTTGTTTTCTTCCTGTTTTTATTCATTCACTCATTTGCTCATTACATATTACCGAGTACCTCCCACGCGCCAAGGACCGTCGTAGGTGCTGGGAGATGCCCCCCTCATGAAACTTCCATTTTAATGGCAGACACGGGCAAGGAACCATTAAATAAGTAGATTCTACGGTATCTTAGAGAGTGACAAGCGCGGTGGAGAAAAGTGAGACGGGGGGTGGGGTGGGCAGGGAATGTTGGTGTAGGAGTTGCGATGTCTAACAAGGTAGTGAGAGACGGTCTCACTGAGAAGGTACCACCTGTCTATGCAAGACAGAGTTAACATCACAGGCTTGAGACCACTGCCTTAGCAAGGCCTGCTGGAAAGGTTATCCTTAGATGTTGCTCTGTTGTTAGGTGCTGTCGAGTCGGTTCCGACTCATAGCGATCCTATGCACAACAGAACAAATCACTGCCCGGTCCTGGACAGTGTCTAGGAATTTAGATTTCAGGAAGATTCCCCCCATTCCTTGATAAGAGTACCTCACTGTGACCAAACTCTTTGTTCAAACAATATAGTTTATGCCAAACCTCTGCTTTCCTTCTGGGAGTCTGGAATTTCGGTACATGCTATGCAGAGCATGCCTCCATGACTAGCCCGCAATAAAAACTCTAATGAGCTTCCCTGGTGGCAACATTCCACAGTGTTGCCACACCTCACTGCTGGGGGAATGAAGCACGTTCCGTGTGACTCCACTGGGAGAGGCCTCTTGGAAGCTTGTGCCTGGTTTCCCCCGACTTCACCCTATGCACCTTTTCCCTTTGCTGATTCTGCCTTGCATCCTTTCACTGTAGTAAATTACAGCTATGGGTACGATTATGTGCTGAGCCCTGGGACTCCTCCTAGGATGGTCTTGGCAACCTCGGACACACAAGCCAAGACCTGAGAAGGACTGCTCTGGCTGTAGGGGTGAGAATGGCAGAGCAAGGGGGAAAGCAGGGAACCCAGGAACGGGGTTACCTCAGTCATCCAGGTAAGAGACGTGGCCTAAACGAGGATGGTAGCCACACCAGTTCTTGCCTCAGGGTCCTCCCCTGCAATGCTCTTCCCTGGGTCATTCAGGGCTAAAGCTCCTGGGTCACCTCCTCACAGGGCCTTCCCTGACGACTGTATCTAAAGTAGCCCCCCGCAACCTACCCCCCAGGGCTGTCTGCCAGGGACGCTCATTAGAGATTCAGTGCCCAGAGTTTTCTCACTCACTTTGTATTAATTTCTTTTTGCAATACTTATCTCGATGAGACGGAATCAAACACACCAATGATCATGAAGAGGGCGCAGGTCTGGCTGGTATTTCATTCTGCTACACATGAGGTCGCCATGCGTTGGAGCCAGCTTGACGGTAACTGACAGTGACGTCAATAACCTCTATCTGAAAGTATCTCTGTTGTTCACTTTAACAGATGATCCCTCCCTCCCCCACCCACCTCCGCTTAGTAGGCATCCAACAAATATTTGAGCAACGAAATGAACGAACAAATGAACTACGCGATGCAGTGGTCTGCTTGGCCAGAATTGTATGAAGCACACGTAGACCTTTGAGTCAACACAGATGACGGCCACATTCCAAAACGTCCCCGGGAGCAGAGAGCCCACAGCACCCTCGCTGACAGTTCCTAGCTTCCAGTGTGCCACAGTTGCCCTGGCTCAGCTTTTTATAGTAACAAAAGGACCCACGTGACTCCAGATGACAGCAACTTGCCCCCCTCTTAACTGTCCATGGTTTATAGTTTCAACAACCTCAGAAACCCACAGCTTCCCGTAAGTGATCAGGTTCTACAGAGCCCACATCCTTCCTAGTATCTTCTGGACTCTTCTCTCTCCCATACCACCGTCACTGCCTTTGTTTAAGCCTTCATGCTTTCCCACCCGGACAGCTGGTCCCCTTGCTTCCCATCAGGCTCTCTTCAATTTATGCTCCACACTTCTGAGAAAGCAGCTATTCGACCACAATTCCTTATTGTGTCTACGTCACTCCTGAGCTTCATTCTTTCGTGGTGCCCACAGTCTTCAGGA